CCTGCCAGGCTCCAGGATCCATTGTCTGCTTCCCCTGCTGGATCCCAGGAGCAGCCACTCACCATGGTGAAGATCCCAGCCCCGAGCAGAGCGTAGATGGCGTGGAGCCACGGGACCTGGAGGCACAGACACGGACACAGACACGGACATGGACACACGGACACGGACACAGACAGACACACGGACACGGACAGACACACGGACACAGACATGGACATGGACACACGGACACGGACACAGACAGACACACAGACACAGACAGACACACGGACACGGACATGGACACACGGACACGGACATGGACACACGGACACAGACATGGACATGGACACACGGACACGGACACAGACAGACACACAGACACGGACATGGACACACGGACACGGACACACACAGACACACAGAGACGGACAGACACACGGACACGGACATGGACACACGGACACAGACAGACACACGGACACAGCTGTCAGAGCTGGACACAATGGGCTACCCAGGACCTCCTTCCCAAGGTGTGGATACACACATTTAGAGAGGTAGGAAATTGCAGCTTGGCAATTCCTTTCAGGCCTGGATTTCTCCTGACTCTCAGCTCCATTCCCAGGCTGACAAGCTGACTACAGCTTCAGTTAGGGATGCAGTCTCCCAGAGTGATAACTTGGTGAAAACCAGAAGGAATTCATAATAAACATTAACACCTAGTGTCTCTCCCATGGGACATCCAGACATGCTGTCCCAGGGGATGTTTGTCCCAATTGTCCAATGAGCTCCTGTCCTGTCCTAGCTGCACGTAACACACTTTAAATCCGGGCTGTCTGTACAATAAATTGGCCTTTTTTCCCCAAAAGAGCTCGGTGTGTGTTGCTGTCCTTTCTCTCTCTTTGCAGTGCAGTGACCACACCAAGGCATTTGGCTCCCGGGGGAGGGGAAAGTTGGGAAGGTGCTCTAAAAGCCCAGGCTGGATTTGCTCCACTTCCAACTTCAACAGTTTCTTTGGGAATGTTTCTATGGCACAGAACAGGGCATAGGGCCCTGGTTCCTCTCTCTCTGAGGCCTTTGAATCCATTTGGCTCCTAAATTTCTCCCTCAGGTGTTTGTTATTCCAAACAGCACTTGTCCCCAGTGACCGTCCTATGGAAATCATGGAATGGGTTGGGTTGGGTTGGGTTGGGTTGGGTTGGAAGGGACCTTAAAGCCTGTCCAGTCCCATGGCAGGGACACCTTCCACTATCCCAACCTGGCCTTGGACACATCCAGGTGTGGGACAGCCACATGTCCCACTCCCAGCACTCTCCTGATGGGAACACTTTGGAGCACCCCCAGAGCAGATTTATTTACCCAAACACAGCTGATCCCACTGGAAGAAACATCAAATATTCCAAGAGCTGGACCCAGCTTTAGTTTGCCTGAGAGAACAGCTGGATCTTTGTCAGGGGAAGTTTGGGTTGGACATTGGGAAAAGGGTTTTCCCCCACCTGAAGAGCTCCCCAGGGCTGCCAGAGCTCCAGGAGCATTTGGACAACACCCAGGCACAAGGTGAGACTGTTGGGATGTCCTGGGCAGGGGCAGGAGCTGGACTGGATGACCCTGGTGGGTCCCTTCCCTCTCAGGCTACTCCATGATTCTGTGATTAATCAACAAGCACAATTTAAATGTATTCACCCGTGGGAGTCACAGGGGGAATTTCACTGGAACTGGGACCAAAGCTCAGCCCCTGCAGTGGCCCAGAGGAGCCAGGAGAAGGTGCTGCTTCAACCCGAGATGGGTTCAGCGAGGCCAGGGCTGTCGCTCCCTCTCCAGGGATTTCTGCCGGCTCCTGCCTCCCGGGCTCGTTCGCTCTGTGCTCACCTCGCCACGTGGCAAACGAGGAGGAGCTGTCTCTCCAGTTTCATGGCTGTGCTTTGGGCAGCTGCTCCAGCCTCACGTTCCCACTGGGGAGAGGAGAAGCTCAAGCCCAGACAGCCAAAATCCAACCCTCTGCAATGCCCAGGCTGGGTTTGTCCAGCACCAGCTCGAGGACTGGGACCAGTGGGAATCTCTGGAGGTCTCCCTTAGGGAATGGCTCAGGGCAGAGGAGCTGGCTGGGAGGGGAGGGATTTGGGATCCCAGGAGCCTCTCAGGTGATTCATGGCCCCAACCCCTCTCCTGATCCATCCCCATGTCCCAGGGGCTGCCAGGCTCTCTGTGACACCTCCCAGGTGTCTCAACACCCCTGGGTGCAGCCCAGCCCTGCTCCAGTGTGCTTGGAAGCTGCTTCAAGAATTCCCCTGGGCACAGCTGGGGCCAGGAGTGGCTGGAGAGGCCAAAGGAAGTGGCTGGAGCTGTGTGAGTGCCTTGGGGACACCCAGGGGTGTCACTGTCCCCTTGGACGTGGCTCCTGAGGGTCACTCAGGGTCATTGCTGAGAAACGGAGGCATCAAGATTTGACCTCTGTGGGTGCTGGGTGTTAGTCCTGAGTCCGAGTCCTGCCCTGGACTTGGGACAGAGTTTAACCTGCTTATTTCTCTGGTTTTACTAAGGGGAAACTGAGGCCTGAGCAGAGGCACCTGTGCTCAGGTGAGACCCCATCTGCATCCAGGGAGGTGCCAGCACAGGAGGGGCATGGATATGTTGAAATGAGTCCAAAGGGGGCCATGGAGCTGCTCTGAGGGCTGGAGCCAGGCTGGGAGAGCTAAGGATGCTCACCTGGAGAGGAGAAGGATCCAGGGAGAGCTCAGAGCCCTTCTGGTGCCTAAAGGGGCTCCAGGAGAGCTGGAGAGGGACTGGGGACCAGGGATGGAGGGACAGGACACAGGGAATGGATTACAGGGATGGATGGGATATTGGGAAGGAATTCCTGGCTGTGAGGGTGGGGAGGCCCTGGGATGGAATTCCCAGAGCAGCTGTGGCTGCCCCTGGATCCCTGAAGTGTCCAAGGCCAGGATGGAGCAGCCTGGGACAGTGGGAGGTGTCCCTGCCATGGCAGGGGTGGGGCTGTGTGGGCTTTGAGGTCCCTCCTGACAGAAACCATTCCATGACTCCACCTCAGGAACAGCAGGAAACGTCCCCAGCCCTGGGCCAGTTCCATCCTTGAGCTGTGTGGAGTTGCCCGTGGGAAGGCTTTGTGAGAACACAGAGCTTTCCCAGGAGCTGGCCTGGGAGCAGAGGATTTCCCAGGAACAAACAAAGGCACCTGCTCCTGTTTTCAGAGGGTGCATTTTGGGAACTCTGTTGTCTATAATGAAAACATCAGTGTAAGAGGCACTGCCTGCTCTGACCAATGGGCTGCATTCTGTTCCTGGAGGAGCACTCCAGTGTATTTAAGGAGTGTGTTACAATAAAACTTTGTCTCTCTCTCTCTCTCTTTCCTGTCTTGAGAGCAGACCATGTTGCTGTGTCTTCTGGCTGTTCCAAGGGTTAATCCTTAACTAGCAGAGACAGAGCTGTATCCCATGGTCCATCCCAGGGAATGACCCCCCTGCTTTTCCATCCCTCCGTGGGGGTTCCCACCCATTTTTAGGGAGCTGGCCCTCTCCTCCCAGCATGCCCAGCATGGCCCAGTATGGCCCAGTTTGGTCACTCACGTATTGGTAGGGCAGAATGACAGCCAGGACCAGGCCCCCCAGGAACAGCACCATGAGCAGCACGAAGAGAACGCCCTGGTACGACGTGAAGTCAAACTGTGGATGGGAGGGAGGAATGTCCTGATCCAGGGGAATGTCCCAGAATGTCCCTGTCCCATCCCAGGGGAATGTCCTGATCCAGGGGAATGTCCCTGTCCCATTCCAGGGGAATGTCCTGATCCAGGGGAATATCCCTGTCCCATCCCAGAGGAATGTCTCTGTCCCATCCCAGAGGAATGTCCTGTCCTGTCCCAGGGGAATGTCCCTGTCCCATTCCAGGGGAATGTCCCTGTCCCATCTCAGAGGAATGTCCTGTCCTGTCTCAGAGGAATGTCCCTGTCCCGTTCCAGGGGAATGTCCCTGTCCCATTCCAGGGGAATGTCCCTGTCCCATCCCAGAGGAATGTCCTGTCCTGTCTCAGAGGAATGTCCCTGTCCCGTTCCAGGGGAATGTCCCTGTCCTGTCCCAGGGGAATGTCCCTGTCCTGTCCCAGGGGAATGTCTCTGTCCCGGGCACAGCCAGAGCTCCCGAGCCCCCCAGGACTCACCCAGGGCTGGTTCTGCCTCTCCATCCCAGCAGCCACCCCTGGCACAGAACCAACACTTCCCAAATCCCCGTTAGTGCCACAGGGAAGGGCTCAGGAATCCCAATCACACCTCTTTGTGTCCTTCTGTATCCCACAGCCCAACCCTCCAAAATTCCCAGTTGCCACCATACAGCCTCTTCCAGCCCCACTGACATCCTTGACACATCCCAATCCTCCAAAAATCCCAGATTATTCCCACACATCAGCATCTTCCAGTCACACTTACACCTATGGCACATCCCAATCCACAAAAAATCTCATTCCCATATATCAGCATCTTCCAGCCCCATTTACATCCCAGCCACATCCCTCCCTAGCACATCCTGATCTACTCAACCTTGTCGTGACATCCCCACATGCCCCAGGCTGGTCCTGTGTCCAGAACCTTCCAGACACTCCCCCATGTGCCCCTTCCCAAGGGAGGCTCCCACAGTCCCACCTTGCTCTGGAAGCTGAAGATGGTGACGGACAGGCAGACCAGGGCTGTGATCCCAAGGCACAGCAGCACTGACTTGGTGTTGTAGTAACTGGAAAATGACCAGGAAAACCACATTTGATCATTCCCACAGAGATGGGAGGGGGGGATTCAGAGAGGCAGGAGCTTGGCAAGGAAAGCAGGAATCCTATGGGCACAAACAGAGCTGGAATTATCAATATTCCACATTAATGTAAAAAAGGAAGGATAGAAAAAAGCCTGGATGGGGATTCCTGCTGTTCTGAAGGATGGGGGGAAGGCAGGAGGATCCATCTGGGCCTCCAGAGCCCTGGAGCTGCCGTGGGCTCCAAATCCACCGATCCCAATCCATGGACAGACAGGGAATGAGGCAGATCCTGACTGGGAGATAACAAAACCAGAGTGACAAAAGTCACTGCAGCACGAGGGGAAACCAAAGGAGCAGCCCTGGGCTCCTGCCCAGCCTGGCTTTTGGAAAGGGGCAGGAAGGAGGGACTGGAGCAGGGACAGAGGCTGCAGACTCAGGCTGGAATGGTTTCCAGGCTGGATCTGGATTTTGCCCTTGGAAAAGCCAGTCCTGCTTTCTCTGGGGAATTTGTGCAGAGTCACTGGAGTTTTCCCCCTGGAGCTGCTGAGGCTGCAGATTTCTTTGTCCCAACACATCCATCACCAGCCCTGGATCGTGTCCCTCTCTCCAGGCTCCCACGTGAGCCAGGAGCAGATTTCCCAGTGCAAATGAGCGGAAGGGAACAGGCTGTGGGATACAAATTCCTGAAACTGCTGGAAAAAATTCCTTGGCTCACTGCAGCCCCACCTGCCTGGGGCAGTGAGAAATGTGGGATCAGTGTGTGGTCACCTCCAGCCCATCCAGGTGCTGCCCTGTCCCAGCCCTCCAGGGCTCTCCTGCAGGATTTGGGATTCAGGAATCCCCCAGTGCTGCCTCCCTTGGGACAGTCCTTGTAAACCTTCCTCAGAAAGTGTTGGCACAGGGAAGCTCCAGCTTTGTGTGGCTGCTGGGAGCCCCAGACAGCTCAGGTGGCCCTGGCACCCCAGGAAAAGGGAACTTTTTCAGGAACAGACAGGACACAGGACAGTGCCCAACCCACCTGGAGAGCATCGCAGTGAGATAGGCCATGGACAGGGTCTGGGGAAAGAGAGCCTGGTTAGTGCCCTCCTGTCATCACAGGAAATCCCTCAATCCCAGAGCAAAGGGCAGGGAAGCCTCTCAGACTCTCAGGAGAAGGAACTCTGGCAGCATTCAAAGCCCTCCAGTGACAGAGCCACAGGAGAGGGCACAGGGAGCATCCCCTGCTCCTGCATCCCTCCCACACAGGAGCCAGCTCCCATCCCACATTCCAGCTCCCAGCCCTGCTCCCATCCCACATTCCAGCTCCCAGCCCTGCTCCCACCCCAGTTCCCATCCCTGCTCCCATCCCACATTCCAGCTCCCAGCCCTGCTCCCACCCCAGTTCCCATCCCTGCTCCCATCCCAGCATATCTCACCTTCCAGCCCTGCTCCCATCCCACTTCCCATCCCAGTTCCCACCAGACCCCACAAGTTATTTTTTGCAATTTTTTAACAAACAGAGTCTCTCTGGTTTTTTTTCTAGCTTCTCCCATCTCAGTGCAACCACAGCTCCCCAGCCCAAGCTCAGGAAAATAAGAGGATGAAATTCCCACTTTTCCCCAGGAATTCCAGCCCTGTGCGTGTCCTTGGAGCCACTGTGACCCCAGGGCAGATGTTGGCCAGATGTGCTACTCACAAAGATGCTGAGCAGGATCAGATTCCATGGGAAGTATCTCCTGCAAAGGACACAGGGGCCAGTCAGCAGGGAATCAGTGACCATGTAGGTAATTAGTGACTGAGAGGGTAATTAATGGCCATGAGGGTAATTAGTGCCCTGTGCACAAGTGCCAGGGGTGGTGCAGGGCACTGTCACTGCTGGCAGCCACAGGGCTTTTGGGGTCCCCCCGGGCCAGAAGGACAAATGTCCCCAGGATATTCCTGCATCCTCTGGAATGTTCAATTCCCAGCATCGAGAGCTGCAAACGGGGCACTTTCTGCTGCACAGTCACAGCTGTAATCAGACTCCTCAGGGCTGCATCAGGCCTGGAGCAGCTGTTTCAGCATCTGGAACAGTTACAGCTGTGGCTGCCCCATCCCTGGAAGTGTCCAAGGCCAGGTTGGAGGGGACTTGGAGCACCCTGGGACAGTGGGAAATGTCCCTGCCCATGGCACTGGATGGGCTTGAAGGTCCCTTCCAACCCAACCCATTCCCTGATCCCATGGAAACACAGCAGCTGCATCCAGGTGCTGGCACAGCTCCACCCCTGCCCCATGACAGGGCTGGGAGCCTGAGGAGAACATTCCTGCATTCCCAGACCCCAAAGTGATCCCTTTACCTGGGCCCCGAGCAGCAGGCGAGGATCAGGTAGGTGACAAAGAAAACAGCGCTGCAAGGAGAGAGGGAGAGTTCAGGGGGGAATCCAGCCTGGGATGGTGCAGGGGGAATTCCCACGGCATGGGGATGCTGGAAATGCAAACACTCGGTGGATCAAGGTGTTTCCTACCCCTGGTCCCTCTCACTAAGCTCCTTCCTGCCCTCAGGGGCCTCCCCTGCATGTGCCCCTCTCCAGGGTGGGACAAAACATCCCTGGCAAAGCTGAGGGCTGGGTGTAGAGCAGAGCCAAGGTCGGGTTCAGAGCCCGGGGAGCACCCAGAGGTGTTAATGACAAACAGGGCAGGAACTGGATTGGTGTTGGCTCTTAGGAAATTCCTTCATGGAAAGGGAGGTCGGGAGGAAGGGGCTGCCCAGGCAGTGCTGGAATCCCATCCCTGGAAGTGCCCAAGGGCCTGTGGATGTGGCTCTGGGGGACACGACCAGTGCTGAGTGGAGGGTTGATGGTTGGACTCGATGATCACCAGAGGCTTTTCCAACCTTCAGCATTCCAAGATTCCTTGGTTCTGTGAGTTTCTCACATGGAGGTGCGAGGCTTTGGCCCTTGTTTCCAAACCCTTTCAGGCTTGGTGGTGTCAAGACTGGAGGTTCTTAAACCAAGGGCTGGAAAAGTGCCCAGGCTCAGGCAGGGCTGGAAGGGCTGCAGGAGGGAGCTGCTCCCATGGTACATCCCTCCAGGAATGGGAATTTCTGACTTTTCATCCCTGGAAGTGCCCAAGGCCAGGCTGGACAGATTGGAGTAACCTGGGATAGGGGAAGGTGCCCAAGGTTGCCCATGGCAGGGGTGGCACTGGATGGACTTCAAGGTCCCTCCAACCCAGCCCATTCCAAGATTCCACTGCAGGAGTGCTTGAGGAAGAGCCCAGGGCAGGAGGATCCGTTCAGAAAAGGGCTCAGGGACGAGCCCAGGGCAGGAGGATCCTCCCGGCTCAGTGGAGCCAGACTTACAGTGCCTACCCCGCCCCGCCCAGGTCCTGGCAGGTTTTATCTCCCAGGATTTGACCCCTCTCAAAGCACAGCAGCCCCGGAGCTGAGGGAGGCTCTCCTGCCCACAGCTGGGTGTTTTTCCAGGCTCTGGGAGCTGCTCCCCTGCTCTCCCCGGGGCAGTGGCTCTGGATGTGCCGATGGCTCCCGATAGCCACTGACCCTCGGCCGAGGCAGGGAGGTGACGGCAGAGCCCAGAGCCACGAGACCCCGGGCACAGAGATAAAGCCAGGCCCAGCTCTCCCACTGGGAAACCAGGAAAGCCAGGCTGGACACGGCTGAGCAGCTGGAAAGAGGCTGCTGGGAGCACAGAGCCAGCAGGGCTGTCCATGCCCTGGCTGCTCTGGATTTATTCACACTGTGCCACTGCAGCAGTGGGAAAACATCCTGGGGCTCCCAGGTTTATTTACAGAGGTCTCTGGTTAGGAAGGAGGCACAGGGCAGGAAAAGCATTTGGAGACACTGGAATGGAGGGAAGGGCTTGGCTCACTGGGCAGTGAAAAAACAGACAAAATTAAAGTTATGGAGTGGCCTGGGTGGGAAGGGAACCTAAAATCCATCCCATCCCACCCCATGGCATGCCACTGTCCCAGGCTGCTCCAAGCCCCAATGTCCAGCCTGTCCCTGTGCAGGACCCCAGGGCTGGAGCAGCTCTGCAGGTGGGGTCTCACCTGGGCACAGGGGGACAATGAGCAAGGGGGAAATTCCTGCAGGACAGAACCCCCCCAGCTGCACCAAGGGTGTTCCCATCAGAAAAGAGCAGGGAATAAACTCCATGTGGGCAGGGAGCTGCGAGAGGTGACCCCCGAGGCCAAGGTGGGGACATGAGCATGGCTGAGCCTTCTCTCCCTGTCCCCTGGGAGGTGACACTGCCTCTCCAACCCCCAGCTGCCCTCTGGAGCACCTTTGGTTCCCTCCTGGAGCTGCTGGGTGCTCTCATTCCTGCTGTCTGGAGGCTTTTCCCAGGTTATATAAGCTGCTGTCTCATCTCCTGATTTGGGTGTGAACTGATTAAAGCTGAGTTCACCACACTTAATGAGCAGCACTGACCCTGCCAGCAGCCTGGAAACCACAGAGGCAGGAGGTCCCAGTGCTGAAGCTCCATTCTGGGCTGGTCTGGGGGACTGAGGGATGGCATCCCAACTTCAGGGCTCTGGGATGGAGCCCCAGGAATGACAGCCCCACTCAGACATGGCCAGAACATCCAAATCCAGCCCCTCCCATATCCACTGGATATCATGTAATGGAAACCTCGGCAACCACCTGGCCTCCAAAGGGAAAATCCCAAAATTCAGCCTCAGGTACCCTGAACATCCTTCCAGGTGGCAGATATGGGGTTCTGCAGTGTTTCCTTGGATGCTCTGCAAGAAACTCTTTGGAGCTTCCCCAGGGACATTCCCAAAATCAAGCCTCCAAGGTACCCTGAACATCCTTCCAGGTCTCATGTAGAAGTTCCTGACTGTTTCCCTGGAAACTCCCCAGTTTTCTCTGGTTTTCAGCAGGAAATACTCAGGTATTTACTTCACCCTGATTTCTAGAGCCATTTTTGGGGAAGTGTTTGGAGTTCACCTCTCTGGAGTCTCCTGCTCATTCAGGTGAGATTTTTCCATCTGCTCACCTCAGGCTCACCCAAGGATTGAGCTGAGGTTGCCCCTGGATCCCTGGCAGTGCCCAAGGCCAGGTTGGAGCAGCCTGGGACAGTGGGAGGTGTCCCTGCCATGGCAGGGCTGGCACCAGGAGCTTTAAGGTCCCTCCCAACCCAACCCATTCCATGATCCATGACCTGCCCCAGCTGCCCCTGGACACTTTGCAGTGATTCTTCACACACAGGACAGGGAAGTGTTTGGGAAGTGTTTGGACACTCCCACATCCCCACAGCCCCATCCAGTCTGGCTGGAGCACACAAGGGCACAGGAAAAGCCAGGGATACTCACTAGGAAGCCCAGTACCAGGCAGAGTGGGTCTGGATGTAGCCCTTGACCGGCTCACTGCAAGAAAGAAGAAAAGATCCTGAGCAGGAAAAATCCAATCCCTCCCAGCTCCCTGCTCAATGAACCCTGGGAGCAGCCCTAGGTGGGGATTAAAAACCCAGCCCTGAGTGAATCCCCTGGGCAGCCTGAGCCTGTGGAGAGGAATCCCAGCTGCTGGGTGGGAAGGGCAGCACTGGTCCCCCAGTTCCACACCGGAGCTGGCCGGGAATGGCTCCCACAGGGAATTAGGGAGCCCAAATCCTCAGGCTGGCAGTGATCCATTATTTATTCTGGAGGAAACATGAGCCACACACACCCAGAGCGCTCGGTCATCTGAGCTGGAGAGGAGGATGAGCAGGGCAGGGAGCCCAGCCCCTGGAGCTGGGATCTGGTAACTCCCACAGGGAAAACCCAGCAGGTACTGCCCAGGGGGATCACCCAGGATGGATGGTCCAGTCCCCAGCATGGGTGGGACTGAGGGAGCTTTGCTTTTCTATTGGAATACTCCGAAAAAAATCCAGGTGTGACCCAAGTCCCAGGAAGCTGCCCAGGGCCCGGGTCCCAGGTGGCTCAGGACACAGCCAGCACCTACCAGAAGGTGAAGAAAGCCACAATGACAACGGTGACCAGGAGCTGGACCATCAGGATGGCATAAACCTGCAGGGAGAGGTGATCCCTGCATCCCAGAGCCCTCCGAGGGCTGGGGGCTCCAGTTCTGGCAGCCCAGAGCACGGGGAGGGGGATGGGAGCACGGGGAGGGGGATGGGAGCACGGGGGGGGAGGGGGATGAGAGCACGGGGGTGTCCCTCCCTGTCCCTCCCTCCCTGTCCCTCCCTCACCTTCCTGATGAACACCCTGCGCACGTCCCGGTCGTCCCAGCTGAAGGTCGTGAGCAGCTCCGTGTCCCCCGGGTACCCCCCGCTGCCGTAGCTGGGGCTGGTGCCTGCAGAGAGCCCAAAGGGAGCAGCTCCCACCCCAATCCCCCTCCCAAACGTGACCCCAGGGAGCCATCACAGCTCAGCTCCCCAAATTCCCAGGTGTTCTCTGCTCCCTTCCCACTCCTGGGCTCATCAGGACCATCCCTGGGAACAGAGGGGGGAACTCTCCCACAAACCATCCCAACACCAGGCTTGATCCCAGTCTGAGGAAGCACCAAACCTTCCAGAGCAATGGGAGGGCTGCGATCATCCCTTGCTCTCCTTTCCCTGGGTAATAAAGCATCCCCAGAGCAGTGACTCAGCGCTCCCAGGGGAGCAGGAGGATTCCCTCGCTGCTCTCCTGAGCTCTGTTTGCGTCGTGGCTTTTGTCAACAACGTCTCTGCTCCCAGAGCAGCTCCTGGCAGCTCCCTGAATCCATCCCTCAATCCCATTTCCGTGCAGGGACTCAGGAGGGAACAGCTCCAATGTCACCAGTGAGAAAAATCTTCCCCCAAATCCTCAGATCACCACACAAGTCATCTCTGCTTTGCCTAAACAGGAGCAGAAGCTCCTGCTGCTGGTTTTCCCCACCCCATCCCTGGCAGAGCCCAAGGCCAGGTTGGACATTGGGGCTTGGAGCAGCCTGGGACAGTGGGAGGTGTCCCTGCCAGGGCAGGGGTGGCACTGGATGGGCTTTAATGTCCTTCCCACCCAAACCATTCCATGATCCCATGATCATTCCGTGCCCTCTTTGCTCCCCTTGCTGGAGTCCCCCCTTCTCTTCTTCACTTTTGTGCCATTTTCCTTCTTTACATTCCTGTCCCTGCCTGGTCCACAGATGGCTCCCCTCCTCCGGGAAGATGGAGCAAAGACCCTCTCGGCCTCAGAGCAGACACCAGGAAAGCCAAACTCAAGGTCCTGATCCTGAATTTCTCCTGTTTTCCTGGTCAAAAGTTGCGTGTTCAAAATGCAGGAGCCCCACGTAGGTGCCCCCAGCAGGAAATAAGTCCCTGGTGCAGCTGTGTTGTCAATAAATCCCTTGGTCCTTCCTTCCTGCCCCACCAGCTGAACCTCCTGCGTGTTCTCCTGGATCCCTCATCGGGCCCAGAGAATTCCTGGGACACTTCCGAGCTCCTGCACCAAAGCAATTCCTAAACACCAAAACACCAAAATGGCCCCTAAACACCCAACTGACACCTAAACACCCAATTGACACCTAAACACCCAACTGACACCTAAACACCCCATTGGCCCCTAAACAGCCAGCTGGCACCTCAGTGCCTGGAGGAACTGAAGGGTTTTACCTCCTCCCTCCCTCCCTGGGTGTCCCCAGCACCCAGAGGGTTTTCTCCTCCTCCCCCCCCATCCATCCCCCCACCCAAGGCCACAGCAGGGCAGTGTGTGCTGAGGTCATTGTCACAGAAACAACCCCAAATTCACCTCCCTTCTCTCCAGGTGCTCCCAGTAAGGTGTGAGACATCCCATAGAGTGGGTTTCCCACCCAGAGACCCAAAATACCCCATCCCACCCCCTAAACCCAAAATACCCAATCCCACCCCATCTGGGCCTCACCCATCCTAATTCATTGTGACAGCAGAAAAATCCAGATGGTCCCCAGAGGCACCTGGGGGACTTATCCTCTCTGTTCCTTAGGGAAAAGGCTGAGAAACCATTGGAACACAGCACAGACACACCAGGGGGGAGTTGTCACTTCGTGGCCCTCCCCAAGCATCCCACCCCTGCAGCTGGGCAGGACAGGCAGCAGAGGATGGAGCAGGGCAAGGGCTCTGGAGTCCCCAGACCCCTAAACGTCCTTCCAGCGTTTTCTCTGGCTGGAACTGTGCAGAGCAAGCCCTGAGCCACTCCCAGGGTCACATCCCAGCCCCCCCATCCTGACCCAGCCCTACCTGCAAGCCTGCAGCCCTTCCTGGGCACAGACAGGGCTTTGTCCTTTGCTCCAGGGAGCTTCTGAGTGTTTGTTTGCCCAGGTATGGCCACAAGGATGCTGGAACAATCCAACCTTTGGCTCTGCCAGCAGCCACTCTCAGGGCTGTGACACCAATGGTGACACCAATGGTGACACCAGCTGTGTCACTCAGCTGCTCTGAGAGCTGGGGCTGGGCAGGAGCTGCAGGAGGGATCGGGGGGGATCCCTACACCTGCTCCAGGACTTTCCCTCAGCCCCAGGAGCTGGGATGTCCCAGGGCAGCGAGCTGGGAATGGGGATTTCTCCTGCCATGGATTTACTCCCACATCTGGAAGGGAGTGAGGTCTCTGGGATGGCTGGAATGGCTTTTATTTACAGATATGGACTTTTATCTGCAGATGGAGATAAGGGCAGATGGAGAGGCTCAAGGGTAGATGGAGACTTTCAGAGATCCACAGAGACTCTCCTGTGCACACCGAGCTCACAGCTCACAGCTGCAGCTCTGCCCTGGGCCAAGCTGGGCACCACATCCCTGGTCCCCCTCTTAACCCTGGTCCCCCTCTTATCCTGGTCCCCCTCTTAACCCTGGTCCCCCTCTGCCCCCAGGGCTCACCCCAGTAGAGCCATGGAAGGACTTACTGGGATCCACGTAAGCCCAGCTGGGGTGGAGCGGGGCGGCGGGCGGGGCAGGGAAAGCCCCGGGTTTCATCCCTTCTCCTGCTGTCGCCTCCTCATAGGACGGGGGAGCCGGGGGGGCTGTGGCATTGTCCTTCTTGTCCCCCTGCCCCTCAGAGCTGGGGGGTTTGCTGTTCACGGAGAGCTGCACAGAAAGGGGCAAAGAGGGAGAGAGAGCTGAGTAAAAGCATCCCAGAAACCACCCTGGACAAGCCTGGCACGGACGGGTTCTGGAAAAGGGGGCAGGAACTGGGAGACATCCGGCCAGTCCTGAGCACCGGACACTTCCCTGCACCCCCGGCATGGGCATCCATGACTGAGGGGAGATGGGAAAGCCCCCGAGGTGTTAATTGGGATGAGAAGTTCCAGGCAGGGAGGTCTGAGGGGAGCCACGGAGCCCCTGCAGTGCTTCGGGCTCAATGTGACACCAAAAACATCCCAGGAATTCTCTGTTTCTCATCAAATTTCCTACATTGCTCCTTAAAAAGAGCTTTCAGTTCCTGGGCAGAAAAATCCTGAACTCTTCATTCCCATTTACACCCATTTTGGGGAGTTGCTGCCAGGAATGCTCCGGTTTGGCCCTCCAGAATTTTCTCTCTGCCCGTGTGGAGGCTCAGCTCTGCTGCTTCCCAGCATTTGAAGGGTTTGGGATGGCAGCAAGGAGCCAACCTGGAGCCACCTGAGCACTCGCATCTCCTTAGGAACATGATCCCTTTCACCTTCCAGATCAGCCTGGGATAAACTGTCAGCCTGGGCTCCTCTGCTGCCCCCGGAGGAGCCAGCCCAGCCCCGGGAATGGCATCCCCACAGACCCCGGGGATGCGGGGCTGGAATCGCAACGAGCCCCAAACCACCAGGCATTAACAGAGCAGAGCGAGAAGGGCTCACAGCCCCTGAAAACACAGGAGGGGCCAGGCTGGGATGTGTCCCACGGGCAGATCCAGCGGTGCCACCTCCCCTGCCAGCCCCCAGGGACTGTCCTTCCCTGTCCTTCCCTGTCCTTCCCTGTCCTTCCCTGTCCTTCCCTATCCCTTGGGGTTAGGGGGACGAGACCATGCAAGCCCCCTCTCCAGCTCCCCAGATATCCAAGGACATCCAGAGGGATGGAGCTGCATCCAGAGCGTTGCCATGGCGATGGTGCATGAGCTGGCAGAGGATGCACAACCCCCCCCCCCCCCCCCGGTCTGAGAGCATTGGAGAACCCCAAAATCGCCAAAATCCCCGAAATCCCCAATATCCAGAGCCTCTGGGCCGGGCAAAAGGTGCTCGGGGCATCGCCAGGTGCTGCCAGGTGGGGACAAGGATGGGACAGGACAAACACCTCAGGGACCCCCCGGGATGGGGGGCGGGGGTGGGGGGGAATTGCCACAGGTCCAACTGGGTTTGACCTAAACCACCTAAACCACCTAAACCCCTAAACCAGCCCCCAGCCCCAAAACCAACCCCAAACCAGCCTTCAATCCCAAAATCACCCCTAAACAAGCCCCCAACCCCTAAACCAGCCCCCAACCCCAAAACCAGCCCCTCCCGCCCCCCTGGCAGGGTCCGTGCACGGGTACCCCGCTTCCCCCTGCCCCCATCGTTTTATTCCTTTCATTCCTTTCCCCCCACCCCTCTTTCCTCCGCCGAACGCGCCTGTTATGCAACAGGGACGGGCTCGTCCTGCCCGCCCGGCCTCCCTCCTACCTTGCCCTGGGTCATGGCTCGGATGGAGCCGGGCTCGGGATGGAGCCGGGCTCGGGATGGAGCCGGGCTCGGGGTCCCTCCCAGCGCTTCTCCCGGAGCTGGCGGGGCTGGATGCGGCCGCAGCTCCCGCAGCCGCTGCCTTCCCGTTCCAGCAGCGTCCCCGGAGCAGCGGGCGCTGCAGGCAGGGCTGTACCACTGCACAGGGGAGCCGGGAGAGCCGGGATGGACCGGGAGCGCGATGGGATGGGATGGAGCGAGCTTCGGGGTCAGGGGGATGCAGGGATGGGCTCAGGGATGGAGAGGATACAGGGATGATCCAGGGCTAGGGAGGATACAGGGATGCGGTGTGGAGGAGGATGCAGGGACGGGATGGGGAGAACGCAGCGTTAGGGAGGATGTGGGGATCTAGGGCCAGGGATGATCCAGGGACAGGGACGATCCAGGGTTGGGGAGGATGTGGGGATCGAGGGCCAGGGATGATCTAGGGATAAGGAAGGTGCAGGGATAGAATGGGGAGAATGGACAGACATGGCATTGAGGAGGGTGAAGAGTTAGGGTCAGGAATGGGGAGGATGTGGCAATGCAGGAACAGGGATGATCCAGGGACAGGGATGATCCAGGGACAGGGATGATCCAGGGTTGGGGTGGATGTGGGGATCCAGGGACAGGGATGATCCAGGTATGGGAAGGATGCAGGGATAGGATCTCACCCCACGGCTGCCCCAGAGCTGCTGAAGTCAGGACTGGGATTTGCAAAGGGAGACTCTGAGGAGCTTTTGCTGCAGCCTCTCTGCTGCTGCCTCAGGGCCCACCGTGGGAGCAGCCCCCAAATATCCTGGGGGTGCCCTGGGGGGCTGGAGGTTCCAGTGGGACAAGAGGGGATGGCGTGAGCCAGGCTGGGATGGAGAGCAGGAGGGGGAATCCCACATGGACACGGCTCCTGTGCCCTGTCCTTGTCCCCAGTGGGGCACAGGGAGGGTCTGGAGGTGCCCTGGGCATCCCCACACCCACAGCAGATTATTGATCAATATTGGTGATCCCAGCCCCTGGGCAGGGGGGAATGGGGATCACCCTGCCTGGACCCAGGGAAGGGCACGGAGGGAATTGGGGTTTTCACTCGGGACAGGGCCTGGGGGGGAAATAAAACCTCAGCACACAGGGACACAGGAACATCTGCTCTTGTGCCAGCAGGACATGGGGGAAAATTGTCCCTTGGGAAGGGTGAAGTGGGTCCCATGGGCCCAGGACAGAGGAAGGGGCGGTGGAAACACAGTCCAGGAAACTCCACCTGGACCCCAGAGAGGGGCTGGAGAGGGATGGGAGCTCTCAGCAGAGCAGCTGTGCTCTCTGTTCCCCCAAAATTGGACAATTTGGAGCTGAGACCTGAGACCCTCCATCCCCCCTCCCGTCCCACCCCCCCAGCCCCTTCCAGTCACCCCTGAGTTTGCCAGGTCGATAACAGAGGTACAAACAATAAATCAGCTCTTCTGAGCACTCTGCTGGGAAAGGAAAAAAAAAAAAAAGAAAGAAAAAAAAAGACAAACTCCAGGCTCCCCAGGCCCAGCGCAGAGAAGCTGAGGAATCTCTTGAGGAATCTCTGCAGGGTAACGGGGTGGAAAATCCATCCCCATTCCTGGCTTCTGCGGAGAAGCCGGGAAAGGAAGAGTTAAAAGGAAAGCACGGGCTGGAAGGGCAGGAATGCAGCCAAGCAAAGCAGCGTCGGCATCCACAGACCCAGCCCGAGCCATTCACTTGGAAAGGGGCGACTCCGCAGAACCTGTCAGGATTATTCCGAATCAATTAAGGGCCACTTAACCACGGCTGCTCCAGGGCTTCATTCTCCTGGGGCTGGGCAGGTCCCGAGGGAGGGGGAGAAACTGAGCCCAGCGCTGGTTCCCGGATCCCTCCGAGAGGGCGAGGATGGACAAATAACCAAGGACAAGTGTGGGACACATATTGAAAAAGTCAGAAAATTACAGCCTGAAAAATATTCCAGGCTGGAGCTTCTCAGCTCTGTTCCCAGCCAATAAGCTGGGCCAGCTCAAGGCTAGGGAGAATTTCTCCCAGGGTGGTAATTTGGTCAAAATAAAAAGGAATTAATAACAAGATAGAACACCTGTTGTGGTGTGTGACCAGGCCCTGGCAATGGGGTGTCTTCTCTCTGAACCAATCACCTTTTCTCTACTCTTGGAATTGCGAGTCATGCTATAAAACCAAGTGTGTTTCTGAATAAACTTGTCTCTTTCTGTCATGAAAAATGACCATGTAGCTGTGCATATTATTTCTGCCTCACTTAAAGGGTTAAAACCCCTTTCCACGGCTACAGACAAGGATAGAGAAATAACCATGGATAAATAAGAGAGCACAAGGATGGATAAAGAACCTCCAGCTGGTGACCCCCTTCAAGCAGGGGCCTGGCCAAGGGGTCAAGGGCTTGGGAAGAGAAACTCCGGGTGCTTTGTGACACCAAAACCCCCCAGGCTCGGCTCCCAGCCAAGGCAGATTCCTTGGAGTGTTCACTCCAGACCCCACACTCTCCATCCCGGGCTAGAAAGGCTTAAAGAGATGAAACGTTGGGTCTGGAAGAGGAAAAACTCCCAATAAAGCAACAGCCACAGCAGCTCTTCGTGGATAAAAACAGCAGGGAAGAGATTGCAGCCCCTGCCCTGCTCTGTTCAGGGAACATCCTCAGGGGAAGGGACCCCAAGGATCATCCAGTCCAATCCCTGGCCCTGCACGGACACCCCAAAATCCCACCCTGTGCCTGAGAATTGTCCAAAGGTTCCTGGAGCTCTGGCAGCCTTGGGGCCCATGATCAGTCCCTGTTCAGTGCCCAGCACCCCCTGGAACCTTTCCCTAAACCCAGCCTGACCCCCCTGGCCCAGCTCCAGGGTCCCAGAGCTCCATCCCCACCCCTGAGCTCCCAGGGGATCCCGGGCTCCCCTCCTGGCCCGGCCTGGCACCAAACCCAGCACCAACCCCACCCCATGGGCTCTGAGGAGCCACCACGTCCTCCCTGAGCCAGGAAAAGCATCTGGGAGAGCCCTCAAGGCTCTGCTTGGTCCTGGAGAAGATGAGAACGGCTCTGCCCAGCCTGAAGCCACGGAGAGCAGATCCCTCCGGCTTGCAGGGACCATCCCTCCCCCAAAAACTGCTCCAAGCCTGGATCCTGGTTCTGCTCTTTGAGCTGGAAGCTCCCAAATGTGCCAGAGTCCTCCCAAGGTGTTCATTGTCTCCAGGGTCCCAGTCCCACAGGGAAAAGATCCCAGATCCAGCTCTGGCATCCCCATCCAGCTCCAGCCCAAACCCGACTCTGGCCATTCCCCTCCTCACTCTTCCTTTTAACACTCAGACTGAGAAATAATGGTAATAAAAATCTCTGTCCAGGCCACACCCGGCCAAATCCACCGGGGATTTTGCAGGATTAAAACAACTTTGCTGAACCCTCAATCACATCAAAAACAAAGGAAAGGGAACTTGATGGGATAATTAAGGGATTTGCTGCACCAACATCCACAGTGGCACACCCAGAAGCCCTCAGTAAATACCCTCTCCCTCATCCCAAGAGGGAAAACCCCCCCTGGCAGTGAAAGCTCTGCCATGGACTTCAAAATAAAACATTAAAAATTCAGGAATTTACCCCAGGCTGCTGAATTATCCATGGATTATTAATGCTAAACCCCTGGTCCCTGGATGGGGGATTAACATGCATCTGGGAACATCAGGGAATGCATGGAGAGGGGTTTGGAAGATGAAAGAAATGAAAACCTCCTTGTCCTCAGCCAGCGAGCTCCCCAGGGCTGTCAGCCTTGGAGCTTCATCTCCATGAGAGATGGAAAGCCAGCGAGGACAAGGGAGAATGGTTTTAAACTAAACCAGGAAAGATTCAGATCGGATGTGAGGAAGGAATTCCTCCCTGTGAGGGTGGGGAGGCCTTGGAAGGGATTTCCTGGAGCAGCTGTGGCTGCCCCATCCCTGGAGGTGTCCAAGGCCAGGTTGGAGCAGCCTGGGACAGTGGGAGGTGTCCCTGCCCTGAGACTGGATGGGTTTAAGGTCCCTTCCCACTCAACCTTTCCATGATTCCCTGCTCCCATCTCCCTTCCCAGCCAGCTGCTGCCTCTTGGCTTTCAGCCAGTGCCCTCCTTCCTCCCCAGGATGTTCCTGAAGGATGGGACAACACCCCCTACACCCACAGGAGAAGGAGCTAGACGGAGCCTTTGGGGTGGGAATGTTCTCCTGGGTTTCTGCACTCAGGCCTGGAGAGCTCCTGTTGATGCCAGAGCTGGAACCAAACCCTGCTCCCAGCACCCCCTTTATGCCTCTGCTTTTCCACTGCCCGGAGGGAAACCCCACAATCTGAGCTGTCCCCCCGTTCTTGGGCTCCCAGCTGCCAGGGAACATTAATACATTAATTATAGCCCTGAGCAGCCCACTTTAATTACCGAGGCTTGGCTGCTGTGGTGGGCAGGAGCTGCGAGGAGCAGCAACTGAGGAAGCTCCTGGTTTATCCCTGAATTTTGCCTTGGGACCAAGGCAATGGCAGGATTTGGGTGTTTGGAGAAATTTGGGCCTGGTTTATTTCTTGAAACACCTCCAGAGCTGTGGTGTGAGAATTCCACAGATCACAGTGGACAGGGGGATAGAGAAAACAAACGGAAGCGAAATCCGCGATCCCGCGTCAGAGCAAACACCGAAATCCAGCCCAGCTCTGCCCAGGATTAAACTGTGCAGCTCTCAGGCCTTGGCAGCCTTCCCTGCCCGCTGCCAGCAGAGCCTGTCCTGCCCCCGGGTGCTGCCAGGGCTGCTGCAGGGCAGGAATTGCACAAGAACTCCCAGTCCTGCCTGGGAGGGGGAGCAGAACAGGTTTGGGGACACTCGGAGCGACACCTTCGCACCACTGAGCAGCTCTGGGCTGCTGTGAAGGGACTTTATATAACACAGCCAGGATGGCCACGGCATGTTTGGCATTCTTCCTGCTTCAGGAGTGACTGTGGTGCTCACATGGCTGCGTCATG